AGATTCTGCAGAATTAATCTAACAGAGCATTGTGTCAGCCATAAATAGAGATGGGTGCCTCTTCTGTTTTCCAGGCAGCTAATTAGGTGTTATGAAAGCTTATGTTGCTGAAAGGAGGTAAATTAGAAATAAAAAAGAAAAAAATGAGAATGACTAAAAAATGGACTTCCATTTATAGAGTTGTCTACTTAGAAATGATGCTAATTTTGAGGTACTGTTAGAAACAGTGCTTACCACCACCGTAATAGAAAAGCATTGTTCCTATTTAAAGTTGTTTACAAAACAGAAATAAAACCATTTCATTGGCAGTCATAAAGCTCAGACTACTTTTTAATTTCTGTCTCCTGTGAACATAGCACTTTAGAACTTCTTTACTGATGCCTTGAGTTATGGATTTTTATTTTAAAACTTCGATGACACATTTATTTCTTGAGTATAAAAAAGTGAATTAGACAGATACCAGATGCATATACAGAATTCTTTTTCTGGAAACTATATGAACATTTGCAGATGTACAAATATGTGAGTTCCTGAGGCAGCAGGTAAATTTGAAATTAAGGAAGGAAATCCTTTTATGTGTTCTAACATTTCCCTAAGTAGTAACAAATTAGTTGCCAAGTATTTCTCCTTAGGGATGTTGCATAGTGCTTTGAAGACAGGGAAAATAAGTTTAAATTTCTGATTTCTGATAAATTCCTGCCCAAAGCAAGACAGAAAAGAATAATGAGTTAGGTTCACTCTGAAGTAAGACATTTTTTGCCTGGTTCCTTGACATATTTCCTTCTTAGTGGACACCACAAAGTTATAGCACACAGGCTTTTCCTCTGAGTTTCCAAAATATGTATACTTGACAGTGCACTGATTAAACTTTGTTAATTCTTACTGACTTAAATAACATTTTGACTTCAAGGTTTTGTTTTGTTTTGGTACTAGGGATCGAACTCAGGACCTTATGCTTGCAAGGCAGGCGGTGGAACCACTGAGCTAAATCCCCGGCTTGACTCCAAGTTTAAATCTTGCTCGTGGTAATTGTTGACACGTTTCACACCTTATCAGAATGACTATGCATTCCTAATGCTATAGTGACATTACAAAATTAAAATCATAACAAATAAATCAAATTGCAGTAACTTCTGTGAAGACTACTAAAATCCAACCACATAATGACTGACAATTTGGTGTTTAAATTGTATCAAATTCTGATGTCAAAGACAAATTTTACCTTCATGATTATAGGGCAAAGGGAAAGAGTAATATGCTCTACTTTTGATTTTTTAATTAAAAAGATCTACAGGTTACATTTATGTATAATAACTCCAGTAGTTAAGCAAATGAATATTACTTTTTAAAAAGAACAGTTTATTTATATTATGAATGTAGAACTTTCTGTGACTTACATTTCAGTTATGAGATCCACTAATTAATAATGTTCAATAATGCATTGGATATAAATTTTGGATTTTTTTAAAGAATTTTGGACTATGCACTGGAAAACTTCAATTTTACTACATATACACTGATGATCTATATGTTTTTGGGGGTGTGTGTTTGTGTGTGTGTCTGTTACAGATATGTTTCAGCTGAGATCCAAAATTACAATCATTTTACAGTTGAGTCAATTTATATGGTTTGACAAAAAATTCATATAAATTATGCAAAATTGAATCAATTGAGATTCTTGCATTTAGATATTTCCCTTCAGATCATGTGTAGTAGTCAGATTTGGTGATCAGAGTGAAAACAATGATTCTTAACTCTGGGAAAGTGTTGTTAGATTGTCACATAGTGTTTCAGGGAATCATACATTTCAGAGATTAGATGTTATAAACTTTCCATATAGGAATAACTTCTTAAGGTTCCATCTGTTGGAGTTTGGAATTGTTTTTCCTTTGCAATATAAACATGGTTAGTTTTGTTTCTCTCGTTTACATACTATTTGGATTATGGCCTCTTTGTTGGCATGGAGTACATTCTGTGAATGGGTAACCACGTTGTATCGAGGAAAGGATTAAACTAAAGGTAAATAATTTTTGATAATCTCAGATTGGAGCAGAAGAAACAAATGGATATTGAATCAAATATTTTTTGTTTTTATTTCTTCTGTCCAGTGTCTCTAAACTTTTTTTTTGATACACATTCCAGTTCTATGCAAATAGAATCTACAAAATTTACTTCTTTTTTGATCATGTTTGTAGTCTACAATCTCACATGTCTTTTCTGGGATTCATTCTCTCTAAGGTGTGAACTGTTTGATTATTTACATTTATAGCTTAAGGGCTTGAGAAAATATCCCACATTATCATTCTTTATTATACAGATTCAGCATATTAAAGGGCTTAAAATATATAATAAAAAGTACACATGCAGAAATTCTCTCAATGTAACTCATCATTTCTTTAAGGCCTGCATTTGTCACAGCCTTTCCTCCCCCTTCATTTCCTCCTTTATCTTTTCTCTACCCCTTTCACTCCCTTCATTCCTTTTTCCCTCTGCTCTCTCCCTCTTTCCTTTCTTCCTATCTATCCCTCTCTTTCCTTTTTCCTTCTGTTTATTTTTTGTCCGGTCAGTCATTTGTCGTAGGTTATACCTATGCCAATTTTTTGTTCCTAGCTAGGATTCCACTCTCCGATATATTCTGTCTTGACCCTTGGCAGTTCACTTTGTGCTCATGGTTTCTTTTGTTTATATAAAAGTGTTTATTGATTATGTTTTCACTGACTGTGAACTGCTGTTGTCAAAACTACCGACTAATCACAAGGTGAACAGTTTGAAATGCATCATAATCAATACTCAAAATTTGCTTCCCTGGATATGACATAGAGAAGTCAAGTAAAAAGCTGCAGATTTTTAGCAGTGAAGTGAAAACGATGCTTTCATGTTGGTGGTTTCAAGTTCAAGGTTGATTTATACTCTACTTATGTTTGCATTTGTCTCTCTTTTTCTCAATTCTAAAATTTATAATGAATTCATTCAGTGCTGGCTATCCAAATAACTGAAGTCCAGTCAATACTGGCATGTAAAAATATGTTTGCATATTGCAAAGTGAGTATATTGGTTGTAAATAAATTCAAGTAAAAACATTATAGCTCTAAAAGATGAAGAAGTACTAACACATGAAATAGGATATAAAGTTTTCTGTAATCTTTTTTAAGTATAAAGTTAGTTGAAAAAATTCATATTATTGTTTTTAACACTTATAAATATAAAAAAGGATAGTTTGTATGATTTCCACTCACAGTAGGTAAAGAAAATAGATAATGATGGAGAATTTTTCTAATATTTTAAAGTAAGTTTCATCTCAGATTTTAACTTATATGTATAGGAAAGGTTCGCAGATGTTATATTTGAGGAACAGAGGTTGTTTTTGTTCCTCTTTCAGCCTTCTCAGTCATAGATGGTGTGTGAATTTAGATATATAAATCAGTTTGAGATTAGTTTTCAGCATTCTTGCCTGCATTACATAATACACATAAGAGTGAATATTTCATTCTTTCACAGGAAAATACTTTTTAATAATGACAAATTTCAAATGGAGGTAAGCTACTTACTTTTTAACATTTCACAAGAGTGAATGTTACCTGCTATGAAATACCATATTTTTGGTCTGTCAAGACATCATTTTGATTTGTAAACCAGTTTAGTCTCATAGGAAATTGTTTTATTGCTAAAAGTTTTTGAAATAAACTATGTTATAAGTTTGTTTTTGTTTTGTTTTTCATTTTCCCTTCTGATGAGAGATTAATTATGGGCTTTAAATCAAACTTATTTTTATGTGTGACTTTGAAAACTTAACCGTGCAAATTTAACAGTGCTGTTACATTTTCTATTTGATTTCATATATCTTTATGCAGATCTTTTTCCTTGCACAGGATACTAAACATGTAGAGATCATCTGACATCAATTAAAAGGCAATCCTCAAGGCTCCTAAATGTGTAGGGAATTATATTCCCATTACATGGAGGTAAACTGTAAATACCTTTTTCTGAAAGTAAAAGCCCCTGATTTTAAAAAGCAGCATTAAACATGATGGAAACAACCATTTATACTGGAAAGGAAGAATTGGAAAGTATGCTTCAAAGTTATGGTTAAAAATATTGGGGTCAATGGAGATATGCAGCCTTGTCATAATGATGGAATTTTCTTTCATTTTTCTTCATCTGACATCTTTTAAAAGGCATTATTAAAGAAAGCTTTGTATATAGATGTTCCTTACGTCTATTGGTAAAGGAACAACGTAAAACTCACAGAAAGCACTATAGCTTAAAATAGAATACCATGAATTGTCATTTATTCTAAACAATACCTGTTGAATAAATCCATTTGGTGTCTACTTAAACCACAAGCAAAAGCTGAAGTGAAAAAAACTGATTACACTATCCATATGTTATCTAATAAAATAGGAATGTGTACTTTTTGAAAAGCTTATTCATAATACATTCTGATAGAAAATTCCATTTGTCACTCTCTATAGGAAAAGCAGGCTTTGAAAAGAAAACTTTTATTTCATGACTGTCACCAAAATAAAAATAATGAGTGAAATAAGGATAAGAAACTTTTAAGAAGTGGTTTAGGACTTGTTCCGGCAGTTTACAGTCCAGTTATTGCCATTATTGGATTTGAAAAATTAATCCTAGTAATCCTTTTTGAAGTCCTCTCTTTGCAGGATGGGATCTACAGAACAAAGACTAACTGATATCCCCAGGAGATTAGATTACGATGATGCTCTATTCTACTGAGAATGATTCTCCAATGGGCACTTTTTACTTCTTCCCTGGCTATGGGAATTCGTTAATATCTAGAGAATAGACTTAAATAAAACCATTGTCTCAGCCAGCAGGTTTATGCAACCATCCTGAAATGTTTTAATTATTGTTTTCTTTTCCTTTTTAATTAAGAGAACAGAGGTCCAGCCAGCCCACTGAGAGCTGATCACAGCTTCAGTAGAAATTCAAAGGAAACTCTAATGATTGGATTTGCTGTTTTCTCTTTTGTTTTGCAGAACCAGATGAGTGTGTTAATTGCACAGATGAATGCCGAGTGCTTGGTCATTCTGACAGGTGTTGGATGCCACAGTTCCCTGCAGCCAATCAGGCTGACAACGCAGATTACCGCACAAATCTCTTTGTACCCACAGTTGAAGCTAATGTTGAGACTGAGACTTATGAAACTGTGAATCCCACTGGGAAAAAGACTTTTTGTACATTCGGAAAAGACAAGAGAGAGCACACTATTCTCATTGCCAATGTTAAACCTTATTTAAAAGCCAAACGTGCCCTGAGCCCTCTCCTCCAAGAGGTCCCTTCAGCATCAAGCAGCCCTACCAAGGCCTGCATTGAGCCTTGCACCTCAACAAAAAGCTCCCTGGAAGGTTGTGAAGCAAAACAAGGAGCCCTGGCCGAGGCAGGTGGTCAGTTCCTGCCCACTGACAGTCAGTATCTGTCACCCAGTAAGCAACAGAGAGACCCTCCCTTCATGCCCTCCGATCAGATGGCAAGGGTCTTCGCGGATGTGCATTCCAGAGCCAGCCGGGATTCCAATGAGATGGGTGCTGTCTTGGAGCAGCTTGACCATTCCAGCCGGGATCTGGGCAGAGATTCGGTGGATGCTGAGGAAGTTGTGAGAGAAATTGATAAGCTTTTGAAGGACTGCCGTGGGAATGACCCGGTGGCTGTGAGAAAATGAGAGCAGACACAGTGAGAGACAGAGAGAGAGAGAGACAGAGAGAGACAGAGAGAGACAGAGAGAGACAGAGACAGAGCGTGGAGGGAAAGCATTGGCATTTTCTTGTCTCTTCTGTTGATTGAAGAATGATTACTCTTGGGGACAACCCATTTCACAGAGAGGAAGAAAGACCAATGCTGCTTTACGGCTTTTAGTGAACATCTGAAGTGCCCACAAGTATGTTCTTTTCACTGTTGTTTCTTTTTTCAGAGATAACAATGGTTTTGTTTCAACCAAACTTATATAAGGACAAAATTAATGATGTTAAAGAGAAAAGAGAAGAAAAGGAGAAAAGAAAAAGGAAGATGAGTATGCCACTTACCTTTTGACAATCTGTTAGGAAGGTACGCAGTGTGCGAAGTGAAATATTCTGATCACTCTAAGACTGTGCTCCGCGATTTATGCTGACTTAACTGTTTACCTATCAACCCATACAAAGCAGGGTCGTCATCTGTGATCTGTGGTGGAGCTCTAGCAGTCATCACAGGCTTCTACTCAAAGTCCTGAAAAGACCTTGCAGTAGTCCAAGCTACACCAAACATTAACACATATTTGTGGTAAACATTTCTGTATAAAGTTACCTGCCACACATATAAACACAAAGACCATTCCATATCATTAGTCAAAAACAAAAACAAAAAAAAAAAAAGAAAAAAAAAAACTTGATCATTTGTAAGACGCCTCATGTCGTATAAAAGTTAAATGTAAAAAGAAATAGTCCATTTTGTCCTGCACACACGTAGACTAATTTACTTCATTAAAGGAGAAGAAAATTTAAAGATTTAAAATGCCTATTTAGCATTTTAGTGTCCAACAAATATATAAATAATTGGTTGGTTTTAAATTTGACATACAAATATTCTGAACAATAGCTACCATTGAGTGGTAATAGTCAGAGAAAATTAACACAATATGTTGTATTCGTTTGTGGACACTAAAATAGCTCAGGAAAGTGAAAATGTCTTAGACATACACAAATCACATGACCATTTAAATGTGCAAATGTAAGAAGATTCAATGTGTTTACATCAAATGACATATTTTTATTGATTTATTGCAGATTCCGTGCATATGAGCCAAATTGTTGAGTGTATAAGAGCTATATTGTGTATTTTATTAAATTAATATATAGTTGTGTTGCAAAAATATTTGGGCTTATATTGTAAATGGCAAGTGTTGCCTCGGTAGCTGTCGAACTCTATGAGTTTTGTTTTTTCCTGCTTCCTTTTCCCCATGGAGCGTGGGAAGCAGTGCCTCAGAGCAAAGTCTCTTGTTTAATGTATAGTCTACCAAGTACTACAGTACATAATCTGTTCAAAATGTGTTTGAGTGAGCTGATGGAGCTAACTGAAAGGTCAAAAAATACATCCGTCAGTCATGGTTCTGTGCAAGTCCTTGTAGAAGCTTTTATTAAAGTCATGCTAAATCATAAGAACTACATTTGTACCAATACCTGAAACTTCTTCACGTTGTTTTCCATAAGGCTTCTGCCTATGTAGATATCATGTTATTGGTTGGTTCTCAAAAGTATCTTAAGTGATTCAGAAGTGTCTTTCCATTATATTTTAAAAACATGAAAAATGCATTAATGCATGTGTGGTACCAGCGCTGGTTACTTGCATTGTACAGTGTTTTTCAAGAGCTCTGGGTCTTAACAAAGTCTTTTTTTCCTTATAACACTGCTCCTCTGCCTCTTTTTATTGGTGTCCTTTGAGAACAATACACTTTCTAGTCCATCATTTGGTTGTACCTTTCCTTGTGACATTTAGCACATTTCAAACTTTCTTCTATATGAGGCTAAGAAACCTCTAATTTCAGGAATTGGGAAAAATAAAATTAGCACTTGCAGAAGTAGTAGCAGATGGGAAAATGCCTTGATTGACATTTTCCTTCAGCATTTAAAATTTTTGGCATTTTACACCTTCATGGCTAATGGTTTTGAGGCCATAACTTAGACAATGTGGTGCTGAGTTAAATAAAGGCTGTTTGTGCACTGGAGCAGAAAAAAAATGTATTATTTGCAAATTGGTGGAGAATCCTGTGCCTTCTTTTCTGGCCACCAAGCCAGTGTAGAAACAGCATAAATATCATACAATCCTTATATTGTCAACAAAAGCAAAAGCAAAAGCAAAAAAAAAAAACATTGAACTAAATTAAGTTTTTGTAATTTTAAACCTCAAAAAATTCTGCTGAAAATATTTCCATCTCTGATATCAAGATTTCAGACTGTATCTTGTTTGCAAAATTGCTTTGGGAGAGAAGAATGGACAACTCCCATCAGCCTTATTCTCTTGAGAACTGTATTTGGTTCCTAGTAACAGCCTTTCCAAAGCTCTACTCTTGGTTTTTATTATTAGTAAATGTTTAAATTAGAAAAGAAGGGATCTTGTACATGTGAAACCTAATTGACGCTCTATATTTTGGACAATTTATGTATCTGAAATGTGTTGTCTCTGTTATATGATGTTATTTTGCCAGGAGACTACAGGTTGGTTTAGCTTGATAGTTGAAATTTGATGGAAAACTGATTTCCATTTAGTCTTATTGTTGCCTCTCTCTTACTAGACAGATAACCATTAGTAAAACCTAAAGCAGTATGTAAATGAAATCAACAAAGAGAGTGAGGTATATTTTAAAAATATTCTTAACATTAAGTAACCAGTTGTTCAGTTTCTCATATTTGTCTGAAGACATCCAAACACCATAAGATTTTATAAATTGGTTGTGCCAATGTGTGAGGAATTTACCTTTAGGCTTCCTGTCACCAGTGATTTACTAGTTTTAGCTGCTTAACACATTATCTGTATTTAGTAGTGATTATTTATTTACAAGTTGGTGGTAATTCAGCAGTCAGGACTCTAAGCTTTTATAGTCAAGGGAATCTTGTTTTTATTCATTTCCCTGGCAACTGCCTTTATCACAAACCTCTGGTGCTTGGCTTCCCAGGAAGCCCATGAGATGCCAAAATCACACCTTTGGGGAGCAATTGCTCTAATGGATGATGCATAATCTGTGAGTTTTGGAGGAGTTTCAGCATAATTTTGAATGTGAAAAAAATCTTAATTTACGTCTTTCAAATACTATTCCCTCAAAAAAGTCACACATTCAAAGTAAAAAAAAAAGATACTCCTTTATTTTTTAGATTCTTATGCAACTGAAGTCAAGCACAGAAAAATCTGTTTATGGTAATTTTAGTACAAAATCCAAAGTTCTAAAAAATGCTTATGGTGAGCTAAAAATTTTTTAAAAATCAGTAAAAAAATAATTTTTATCAGATATCAATGATGAAAATTCTTTCATCACAATTAAAAGTAGTAAGAATCAGTGTTAGTTATATCTATACCAAAGTAAACATTAAAGAGACGTATCATGCAATTTCAAAGAATTATTTCACACTGTTTCTTAACCTAACATGTTTATCTTATTACAGGCAGCATAAAAAATCCTATTCCATAAACAAATTGAATTCCTGGTGGAGAAATTTACTTATTTTATGTCCCCAAATTAGCTGAGATCTTGTAAACATGACTTCCCTTTAAAGGATCTAGACACTGCTCAATTTAAAAAATGGCGCCGTGAAAAAAGTCATGTAGTAATAGAGCAGGATACTTTATTAGAACCAGGTTAAAAGCTGTTTGTTGTCTAATGGCATACAACTTGCTGAGGTCAACAAATAGACAGAGGTCTGGCATAATCTATGCCCACTCATTATTGTCTAATTATATTCTTTTGACAACAGACAGCCTTTATCAGAACATTAATTTAAATGAGTGTTTCGGCTATCAAGATGTGCTGATTTAAAGTGTGATTGAATGAGACCTGATTAAAGTCTGACTTTCCTGGCCCCAGTGTTTTGCAGGTTAGCTGTTCCCATTTATCAGCCCCATCACTCCATCAGGTTCTTAGCTGCACCAAGTGATTGGTGAATAAGGACAACAACAGCAACAAAAGCAGCATACATTTTATGGATTTATCTCAACGCTATCGTTTAATGGCTGTGTTTAATGTGACCTATCTGGAAAATGAGGACTCCGAATAAAAAGCTATTACTAATAGTGGTGTTGCCTTCCCTTGAATTCATTAACACAGAAGTGATGTTTTGTATACTGCATACCACAATGACCTGGATTTTAATTACTTTGGAAAGTGAAGTATGGCATCACAGCTATTTTTGATAATTATCAGTTTGCCAGTAAAATGAGATTTGTAAAAAAATTTTACTTAAGAATGTCACTCTACAGGATATCAGATATCTTGGATAAGTGGGCTAGTGAAATAATTAACATGAAATCATAGCCTAATAAACCTTGGGCCTTTTAAAATGTATAATTGATGTGACAATAATTCGGTACATGGTCCTAGACAAATTCAGAAATGACACTTTACCAACCTCTTATATTACTGCATGAGTGATGAAAGGAGATATTTGTAAATGGCATTTTAAAGTACACATATGTTTATTATGGTATTTTAAAATGATAATTTTGTCCTACTAGTCCACAAATATTCTGCATTTCTCTGTATTTGCCTTGAACTAATACGTCATAGGAATAAAGAGTAAAAGAATTGTGCCCCGGTTAAAGTCAAGTAAATTCTAAGACACATTCGTCTTTATATATTGATTTTGATTGTTTTTCTTTTGTTTCCCTTATCCACACATCCTATATTTCTGCTCCCTAATTTACAGTGGATGACATTTTCTAAATCCCAAAGTAACATAATATACTGCATGCTTAAATTTTAAAATTTTATTTTACTTATAGCAGTACAATGGATCAAAACAAGTGCGTTGCATTTCCATTTTAAGATCTTACTTGGTTAGATTTATTGGCTTGAACTAAGTAACTTACCTGTTCATTATTGTGTTCATTTTTTGACAGCCTTTGCTTTTCCACTGAGCACGATTTAGGTGCCCGTACTGAAGAAGGATCCTGAGGTAGAGAAAAGAACTAAGTCAATTATATTTTACTCTCAGAATACTTGAGGTTTATGTAACATGGTAATATATATTAACGTAAGAATTGACATCTTTAACACTATCACTTTTACATAATCGTAATAATTTCGTTATTAAGATAAGCAAACACTACATGTATTTTGTGCAATTCACTGCTTTTACTTGTTCGGGAGACCAAATTGTTAATTTAGTCACCTGAACTAGCTGACCACAGTCTAGAGAGAGTAGTCAAGGAAAGAGGCCCATGTGACCATGTCACAATTAGGAGGAAATGAGAAGTGCAAAGTATATTACAGTCTTACTCCATGTCAATGAAATGTTTAACTTAAAATAAATTAGCGTGCCCACAAGATATAATTATTTGACAGTTCCTTGTAGAATATAAAGAATAATAATTGTGAAAGCTAACTGTGACATTAATGAGGGACATAGAAATAGGTGTACCACTTAGTGGATCATCTTCAAACTATTCATTAGCTACTTTTGGACATGTTTGCATAAAACTCTGTATCACAGACTGGCTTATCACCTATTATCTCAAAAAGTACATTTCACTTCGAGAGGAGAGTTTATTATTTGTTTTATTTTCTTTTTCATATACACATTAAATATGGCATTCTAATAGATCAAATTTTGATTATGAATTGTATTAAAAATTTAGCTTTATGATGTTACATGACTCAGTTAAATTATTTCAAACATTTTTTGAAGATTATAAAAGAAAATCTAAGATTCTTATTTTGCTCATCTTATACAAACCATAGTTTAAAAGAATAATTGGCATGCAGGAAAGCATATATATATCTATATATATCTATATATATATATAAGTGCACTAGGTGTCATCCGGGCTAACTAGTAGAATAATTGCAAAAACTTAAACTAATAGTATAAGTTTTAGTTTTAGAAAACGTTTCAATTCACATTTTAAAAAATTATCAAGGTGTTACATAATTAAAGATTCTCAAGCTTAAATAGGCCACTGCGCTGATCCAAAGGGCAATTAACTACAAAACCTGATACTCTGCCCTGAACTAAATTTTTAACTTTGATTCTTTCTCGAGATTTTATGAATTCTGAAATCTTGCTGTATTTAACATTTTAGCTCTCTAGGATCTTGCTTTCCCCTTTCAATTGGTATTCACATACTGTGCTTTAGAGTTGTTCATCCTTATATTAATTATAAATGGAAAATAGAGAAGGCTTATGGTATCCAAGAAAATGAAAAAAATATCTTAAGAAGTACGCCCATGTTTTCATTACTGTCTATAAAATGTTTCAAGATGTTGGTGATATGCTCTTTTTTTTAATTTTATTGAGTTTATTGGTACATTTTAGGGATACCGTACAGTTACATTCATTATTGGGATCATGTACCTTTACATGGCAAGTCTTGATTCTCATTTTTGGTATCCAAGAAAATGAAAAAAATATCTTAAGAAGTACGCCCATGTTTTCATTACTGTCTATAAAATGTTTCAAGATGTTGGTGATATGCTCTTTTTTTTAATTTTATTGAGTTTATTGGTACATTTTAGGGATACCGTACAGTTACATTCATTATTGGGATCATGTACCTTTACATGGCAAGTCTTGATTCTCATTTTTTCCCCTTACACCTGCCCTCCCATCACCCCCTCCTCCCCTCCCCATCTACAAACACTTTATTTTCATCTTTTCATTCTCTCACATTTTTTTTCTTTTCCCTTTTTGTTCTTCCCCTACGTATCACACCTTCCCTACACCTTTAGCTCCTTTCTTCAAATTTCTAAATGTCAGTAATCTTATTAGAATCTTATGCATTGTTGCAGAATATTCACACCAGGGAAACTATTTGGTATTTACACATGTGTGACTTATTTATTTCACTTAGGAGTATATCTTCAATATGTATCCATTTTCCTATGAATGAATCTATTCTCTCGCTCTTTATGGCTGAGTAATATTCCAT